TGATTGCTTATGCTTCTCATCAATTGAAGCCCCACGAGAAGAACTAATCTGTTCATGATTTGGAGTTGGCTGTCATAGTTCATGCATTGAAGATATGGAGGCATTACTTGTATGGCGTATCTTGCGAGGTATTCACTGACCATCACAGTCTTCAGCATTTGTTCAAGCAAAAGGATCTTAATTTGAGGCAGCGGAGATGGCTAGAGTTGCTTAAGGATTATGATATTACTATTCTGTATCATCCAGAGAAGGCCAATGTAGTGGCTGATGCTTTGAGCCGAAAGGCAGTGAGTATGGGGAGTTTGGCGTACATTCCAGTTGGGGAGAGGCCCCTTGCAGTTGATGTTCAGGCTTTGGCCAATCGGTTTGTGAGATTAGATATTTTGGAGCCCAGCAGAGTGTTGGCTTGTGTGGTTTCTCGGTCTTCCTTATATGATCGCATCAGAGAGCGCCAGTATGATGATCCGCATTTGCTTTTCCTTAAGGACAGAGTTCAGCATGATGATGCCAGAGATGTGACCATCGGTGATGATGGTGTGTTGAGGATGCAGAGCCGGATCTGTGTGCCCAATGTGGATGGGCTTAGGGAGTTGATTCTGGAGGAGGCCCATAGCTCACGGTATTTTATTCATCTGGGTGCCGCGAAGATGTATCAGGACTTGAGGCAGCACTATTGGTGGAAAAGAATGAAAAAAGATATTATGGGATTTATGGCTCGGTGTCTCAACTGTCAGCAGGTGAAATATGAGCATCAGAGATCGGGCGGCTTACTTCAGCGAATGATTATTCCCGAGTGGAAGTGGGAGAGAGTCACTATGGATTTTGTGAGTGGTCTTCCTCAGACTTTGAAGAAGTTCGATTCGATTTGGGTGGTTGTGGATCGGCTGACCAAGTCTGCGCACTTCTTTCCGGTGTGTACTACCTATTCTTCGGAGCGGCTGGCAGGGATCTTCATCCGGGAGATTGTTCGATTGCATGGTGTTCCAGTGTCAATTATCTCAGATAGAGGTACTCAGCTTACTTCTCAGTTTTGGAGGACTTTTCAGCGAAAGTTGGGTACACAGGTGGAGTTGAGCACATCATTTCATCCTCAGACGGACGGGCAGTCCGAACGTACCATTCAGATATTGGAGGACATGTTGCGTGCCTGTGTTATTGATTTTGGAGGTTCTTGGGATGAGTTTTTGCCGCTTGCAGAGTTTGCTTACAACAACAGTTATCAGTCGAGCATTCAGATGGCTCCGTTTGAGGCATTGTATGGAAGGCAGTGTAGATCTCTAGTTGGGTGGTTCAAGCCCGACGAGGCTAGCTATTGGGGACGGATTTGGTTCAGGATGCCTTAGAGAAGGTGAAGCTGATTCAGGAGAGGCTTCGTACAGCGCAGTCGCGTCAGAAGAGTTATGCGGACCGGAAGGTTCGAGATCTATCTTATATGGTTGGTGAGAAGGTCTTGCTGAAGGTTTCGCCCATGAAGGGTGTTATGAGATTTGGGAAGAAAGGGAAGTTGAGTCCGCGGTTCATTGGGCCTTTTGAGGTACTCAAAAAATTGGGAGGTGGCTTATATGCTTGCTTTGTCACCCAGCTTGTCGGGTGTGCATCCGGTATTTCATGTTTCTATGCTCCGGAAGTATGTTGGAGACCCGCACCATGTTTTGGACTTCAGCACGGTCCAGTTGGATGATGATTTGACCTATGATGTGGAGCCAGTGGCTATCTTTGGTCGTTAGGTTCGAAAGTTGAGATCAAAGGATATAGCTTCGGTGAAAGTGCAGTGGAGAGGTCGGACCGTGGAGGAGGCTACTTGGGAGACCGAGCGGGAGATGCGGAGCCGATATCCTCGCCTGTTTGAGGTTTCAGGTATGTTTCTTGACCCGCTCGAGGACGAGCGTTTGTTTTAGTTGGGGAGGATGTGACGACTCGGCCAGTCGTCTCATGAGTTACCGCCCTGTTTTCCCATTTTATGCTTCCTTGTGCTTCGTTATCCGTGTCATGTGTAGTCGATTTGAGTTGGACTGGTTTTGGTAGGAAATGAGACACTTAGTCTCTTTAAGGAAGTTTTGGTTTGGAAAAGTCAACCGAATGTTGACATATGTGTTAGAGGGCTCGGGTGTGATTTCCGGTGATTCGGTTAGCTTCGGGAGATAATTTGTGACTTAGGAGTGCGATCGGAAATGGTTTTGGAGGTCCGGTGTAGGAATTAACTTGTTTTAGCGAAGTTAGTATTTCGGCGATTTCCGGTTGGTAGGTGAGATTTTGATCAGAGGGTCGGAATGTAATTCCAAGAGTTGCAGTAGCATCGTTAGGTGATTTGGGATGTGTGTGCAAAATTTCAGGTCATTCAGAGGTGATTTGGTTAGGTTTTTGATCGAATGCGTGTTTCGGAAGTTTTTGAAGAACTTAGGCTTGAATTCGATTAGAATTGATGGTTTTTGTGTTGTTTGAGGTGTTTTGAAGATTGGAGCAAGTTTGAATGATGTTTTAGGATGTGTTGGTGCTTTTGGTTGAGTTCCCGAGGGCCTCGGGGTGATTTCGGATGGCTAACGAGAAGTTTTGAACTTGGAAAATTTGCAGAAAATGCAGCAGCAGGTGCAGTCCTATTTTGGCCTTCGCGTTCGCGTGCCTGGGGCCGCGTTCGCGAAGAAGGAAGTTGGGGTCCCTGAAAATTGTTCTTCGCGTTCGCGTTGGGTCTCGCGTTCGCGGAAGGTCGTTTGGTTGTTCTTCGCGTTCGCGATTCAGTGACCGCATTCACGTAGGTTCAGGGACCTAGGGCATCGCGTTCGCGAAGGGTAATTTTGGTCAGAGGAATATTTGTTCATCGCGAACGCGAGGGGGCCATCGCGTTCGCATAGAAGAAAATCAGAAATGGGCAGAATAGTTTTTAAAACACTTCCTCCGCGAGCTAAGTCATATTTTCCTACATTGTTGGGCATTTTGAGAGCTATTTGGGAGAAATTGAAGAGGGTTTCGAAGAGGATTGATTGGAGGTAAGTTCTATGAACTAAAAATGTGATTATTATGTGAAATTTACCCTGAAATTCATGGAAACTTGGCTAAAATTGGAAGAACTAGGGCTTGGGATTTTGAGATTTTTAAATTGGGATTTGAAGGGTCATTTGAGCTCGGATGTGAGAGTTCTTGGTATGTATAGACTCGTGGCAAGATAAGGAACCCGTTGATGTGAAAATTTTTGAGTTTCGAGAAGTGGGCTCGGTGCTCGTGTTTTGCAAATTTCGGGATTTTTGATGTTTTTTGATTATTTTCGATTAGGTTTTGTTCCCTTAGCCTATTGTGACATATTCGTTGTGGTTTTGATCAGATTTGACGTGTGAGGAGACTGATTTGAGAGGCAAGGGCATAGCGAGCTAGAGTTTTGGCCGGCTTGAGGTGAGTAGTGATTGTAAATGATGTCCTGAGGGTTTGAAACCCCGGATTTGCACAACGTAGTACTATATTGAGGTGAAACACGCGCTTAATGACGAGCGCGGAGTTGTTTAGTATTGGGGATTGTGACTTGGCCCGTCCCGATTGATGTTTTTACCGCGTATTTGACTGAGACTTGTTCGTTAGCATCATGATTTGGGCTTATCGCCATATTTGGGCTTCATGCCGACTACTTGAATCCTTCATGGACTTTTATCACTGTTTCCTCACTATTTTGACATATTACTTGAACTCAGTCCTATTTATTAATACTGTTTTACAAACTCAGCCATTTTTACTTGAATTTTTAGACTTAAATGATATTTCCAATGTTGTTTGGACTGCGCACTACTGTTTTACTGATGCTTGAGGGGCTTGTGATGATTTCTGGACTAAGTGAGGCCGAGAGCCATATGTGGGGATATGCTGAGTGATATGAGATACTTTACACGCCACGAGGTGGCTTGAGTGATGGGAGGCCGAGTGATGTAAGGCCGAGTGCCGAGTGATGATGCAACGAGGTGGCTTGATGTAGCGCTTAGGCCGTAAGGGGCCCCCCCGGAGTCTGCACACCCACAGTGAGTGCAGGTACCCATATGATCTGAGAGTGAGCCCGAGGGGCTGATACTATGGTGAGTGACTGATACTGAGCCCGAGGGGCTGATACTGTTCTGAGCGACTGATATTGAGCCCGAGGGGCTGATACTGTTCTGAGCGACTGATACTGAGCCCGAGGGACAGATTTCTACTTGCTATTTATCTATTGTTTTACCTCAATTACCTGTTTTTAAAAGTTATTTCATTTGATTCTTCACGGTTTTACTGCTTTAAGTGATTTACTGCCTGATATAGAATTGCTTTGTGCCTTGATGTGTTTTCATGCTTTCGGTCATTATTTATAATTATTACTCACTGGGTCGGAGTACTCACATTACTCCCTGCACCGTGTGTGCAAAGGCATAGCAGAGTCCGTTCCTGGGCGCAGATCCTTCCAGACCAGGCAGTGATTTGGAGATTACAAGGTAGTGGTTGACGCCCGCAGCCCCGTGTCTCCCCTTTCCTCTATCATTTATGTTTTCTTCAGACTATTGTATCGGACTTCATACCTTGTAGACTTATAGCAGATCCTGTAGTAGCTCATGACTTGTGACACCCCGGTTTGGGCTGTGTCGGGATGGTTTTCCCTTGTTATTATCGTTGTTTCCGCAATTATGGCTATCTTAAAACCTGTTTTAGATTTGCTTATGTTATGTAATTCTTTAAAAGAGGTGTTTCGTTTGTTCTGGCTGGCCTTGTCTTCACGAGGGGCGCCATCACGACCGGGTTCGGGAATTGGGTCGTGACAATTATAACATTTGAAAATACAAAAATTAGTTTCACTTTTAGTATTTAGTTTTATATTAGTTTATTTTAATTAAGAGTGTTTTTTACATTTTATAGATACATTATATTATTTCGTCTTCTTAGCCTAAATTTAAACACAAAAGACATGGTCCAACTCAATTTCCTAAATTCAAGCCCATTACCCCACCCTAATTCTCTCTCCTTAAAAAGCTACTTGACAAAAACCTAAAGGCAGGTGATAAAAACCCTAAAAATTCCTAGGACAAAAAAATGGCAACTATCCTTTCTCCTCCAAAAATGAAACCAGCGGCAGACTTTGAGAATTGTTAAACAAAGAGAAAAAAAGCAAATCTTAAAAATTTCTAAGCTAAGAATCGGTGGCAGCAAGCAAAAAAATAGGATCCTAGTTACTAAAGAACGAACAGAGCTACCTCCCTTTTCCATCTTCGCCCCCCGCTGGCGAGCTTAACCGGCAAAATCCCAACGACTCTTTTCTCGGCGAAAGCTAACGTATATGCTCACAAGGAGGCAAAAAATAGAGTTGAGGCTTTCCGGTACAAGTTGCTGTATCGGGTTTCGGTCGTGGCCTGTTATTTTTCTGCTCTTAGGTATGTACACATCCAGCTGAAAATTACTTTTCAAATATAATCTGAGAAATTTTGTATTGTGTTCCATATTTGTGTTTGTTCACTTAGACTCGGCATGTTCTGGTTGTGTAAATTGTTTGGATTCCTTGTTGTTTTGTTATATTGATTATTTTTAAAAAAAAGAAGTGGTCGAATGTTCATTGATATCTGCTCGCACAATTATTTCATGATTGGAGATTATACCATGTTTAAGTAATAGTCTATGTTCTGAGTCGATTTTAAGTGTAGTATTCTTTCGAATTCAACTGCTATTTGGGAATATCTATTTTTGAAAGAGTCCAGCTCTTTGTTCACTTGAATGAGGGTAGTAATTATGATGTTTAACTCTGCCATTTTATTTTGTATGAAGGCAGGATGTTGGAAATTGTGGAGTTATAACGACCCGAGCGGCCGTTTTGAGAATTTGCACTTCGCTCGCCAATTCTCGGGCAAGGCTAGCCCCGTGTGATGCTTTATGACTTATGTAAATCGTTGATTTTGATTTCAGGATAATCGGAACAGATTTGGAAGAACAATTCTCAGTTGAAGCTTTAAATTTGAAAGGTTTGACCAAGTTTTGACTTTTTTGTATATGATCTCGGATTTGGATTTTTATGATTTGGTTAGCTCCGTTAGGTGATTTGGGACTTAGGGGCGTGATCGGAATGTGTTTTGGAGGTCCGGAGTAGATTTAGGCTTGAATTGGCGAAATTGGAATTTTGGCATTTTTCGGTTGATAGGTGACATTTTGTTATAGGGGTCGGAATGGAATTTCAGAAGTTGGAGTAGGTCCGTTGTGTCATTTGTGACGTGTGTGCAAAATTTTAGGTCATTCGAACGAGATTTGAAAGACTTTTTGATCAAAAGCAGAATTCGGAAGTTTTAGAGATCTTTGGCTTGAATCCGTGATTGATTCGATGTTTCAATGTTGGTTTAGGTGTTTCGAAGGTTGGTACAAGTTTGAATAGTGGTATAAGACTTCTTCGTATTTTTGGTTGAGGTCCCGAGGGCCTCGGGATGATTTCGGATAGTTTTCGGAGAGTTTGAACTTGGGAAATTGCAGCTGGTATTGCTGCTTCTGTCATATCCGCACCTGCGGATTGGGGACCGCAGGTGCGAGCTCCGCAGGAGCGGAAGAGAGGCGCAGGTGCGTGTAGGACCGCAGGTGCGACTTTGGAAACCGCATCTGCGATGCCGCAAAAGTGGTGAAGCGGCCGCAGATGGGGGACCTGGTGAGGCAAGTGAAATCCGCAGAAGCGGACATCTTTTCGCAAAAACGGAAGCGGAGATGCGCTTATGGGATCGCAGGGAATCCCTGGGTAGAAACTATAAAAGCATTCTTTCGCGAATTTTGGTCATTCTTCCCCCATTTTTTGTCGATTTTGGAGCTCCAAGCTGTGATTTCAGGAGGGAACACAAGTGGTTTCAGAGAGGTAAGCTACCTGGGCTTGTATCTCGTGTTTATGGTGATTATTCCATTGTTTAATCAGGGAAGTTTTGGGAAAAATTGGAGAAAGAATTGGGAATTTAGGGCTTGGAACTTGAGACTTTGATTAGGGATTTGATGGGCCGTTTGGGGTTCGATTTTGATGTTCTTGATATGTATAGACTCGTGGGAGGATAAGGATTCTATTGATGTTATTTTTATTGGATTCCGAGACGTGGGCCGGGGGGCCTTGTTTGGCCAATTTCGGGATTTGAGTTTAATTTGATAATTTTCGCTTTGGCTTTGTCTCTTTGGCATGTACTGATGTTATGATTCTGATTTTGGATAGATTCGAGGTGAATTGAGGCCGAGTCGAGCGGCATGGGCAGCATGGTGTTGGTGTTCGTCCGGATCGAGGTAATTAATGATTGTAAATGTTGTACTGAGGGTATGAAACCCCGGATTTCACATCGTTGTTCTACTTTGAGGTGACACGCACGCTAGATGATGAGCGTGGAGTCGTGCACCGTTGGGGATTGTGACTTGGTCCATCCCGTGCGGCGGTTAAGTCGTGTATTTGATTGAAAGTTGTTTGATATCATTGTGTTATGCAAAATATTACTAGGTTTTGGGCTGAATGCCATATATGGGCCTTGTGCCAACCGTTTAGACCCTTAGGGGCTTTTTGCTACTATTTCCTCGCACTGTTTGATTTGAAAGCATATCCTCAGTCATGATTTTTACCTATTTACTTTTGATTCAGTTTTAATACTCTGTTTTAAATATATGAAAGTTGTTTGCGCTGAGCACCCTGTTCTACTGATAGCCCGAGTGGTTTGTGAGGTTGATGACTGAGAGAGGCCGAGGGCCTGGTGGTGAGGATTATATATATATATATATATATATATATATATATATATATATATATATATATATATATATATATATATATATATATATATATGGATCGGGCTGCACGCCGCAGCAATATTATATATATTTATGGATCAGGCTGCACACCGCAGCGATATTGATATGTATATGGATCGGGCTGCAAGCCGCAACAATATAGCGCTTGGCCTGTAGGAGCCCCTCCGGAGTCTGCACTCCCCCACTGAGCGCAGTCGACTATATATGGATCTGGCCACACGCCGCAGGGATATATGGATCGGGCTGCATGTGGCAGCGGTTATTATAAGGTACCTATTGAGCGTGAGTGTTGAGTGTGAGCGCTGATTCATGAGAGTTTAGTCTCAACAGACTGAGAGGCTTACCCGAGGGGCTATATATATGAGTGATGCTTTGCCCGAGGGGCTTGTTTTTATGAAATTACTGATTTCACTTCTCCTTAAAGTGAGTCTATATTGAATATGTTGAATTAAATTACCGATTTCACTCATCTTTATACTAAGCCTCTATAGAAAATGTTAAACAAATGTTTTGAACAATTTTCATTGATATCGGAGTTTTAACGAGATGATATGATTTGTATCCTATTTTGGAAACATACTGTACCCACTGTGGTGCTATGACGTGGTTTGTGTGATTTATTATTGCTCATTCATTATTTACTTTTATTACTTACTGGGTTGGCGTGCTCATATTACTCCCTGCACCTTGTGTGCAGATCCAGAAATTTCTAAGCTCGGTGGCAAGTTCATTGGAGATAGTAAGGTAGCTGCACGGCGTTCGCAGTCTTGCCTTCCCCTCCCTATCCTTATTATTTTATATTTCAGTCTTATATTGTATTAAGCAGATAGTGTTGAATTCTGTTTAGTGGCTCATGACTAGTGACACCAAATTCCGGCTGGGTTGATGTATTTACATACTTGATTCCACGTATTTTTGTTGATACATATTAATATGAAAGATTTGAGGTTTAATCTGTTTTAGAAAAATACAATGTCTACAAAAGATCTTCTGTATTATTCGTGTTGTTTCAGCTAGCCTAGTTCTGTGATAGGCGCCATCACCACCAGGGGATTTGGGGTCGTGACAAGTTGGTATCAGAGCCTAGATTACATAGGTCTCTTGAGTCATGAGCATGTTTAGTAGAGTCTTGCGGATCAGTACGGAGACATCTATACTTATCTTCATGAGGCTGCAGAACCCTTAGGAAAACTTCACATTCTTGAATTTTTATCGTGCGTCATTGATTCAGCTTGAAATGTAACTCCTAAAATTCCTTCCACGCGTCTGTATGCGCGCATGAATGCTCGGTATCAGCTGTGCATTGACAGCTTGTGATTCCCTGGTCGAGGGGCGAGATGTAAATTCTGTGTGTTGATGTTTGGCCAGTCTGGAGGACTTGAGGCCGGGCTTTGCTTGTAGCTTGAGCACTGAGGTGTTGATTGTGTGAGCACGTGCTTTTGGACTTATATATCCTATAGTGTCCCTATTAGTGGAAGTGATGGCTGGATGGCTATGTGATGAGCATGATGTGACTGCGTGATGTGTTCATATGATTTAGATGTAATAAGAAGAGTCTACTTGAGGGTAGGAAGAATGATTTGGTGCTTGATTTTCATCTTGGTTTGATATGTAGCCCTGAGTTATGGGTGTGTTGAAGGATCTTTTCGTGTTATCTAGTTGTGGAATGAAGTAAACTCCACGTCGTGGGGTAAGTTCAGATTTAGGAAGGGTAAGTGATCGAGTAATAGTATGATTATGGGAGAGTATGCAGAGATGTTAGTTTGAGGCAAAGCAGGTGGGTTATCTCATGCGGAGTGTTCTGAAGTTTGTGTGATCCTTTTTGTTGTTTGTTGGAAGACCTCTTGTATCATTGAAATATATGTGTTGCAATTTGAATTCGGATCACTTAAAAGAGTGGACTTAACTGTTACGAGGGTGAATGCGATATTTGCAGAAGATTTGAAGTACTAGATGGTTTGTGTTACACGAGCTTATGAAGGATTTAGTTTAATCTCACCACGGTATTATGGCAGTAATAGAGTATATGCATTATGAGTTATTATGTGTTTTGATCTATGGCTTTGAGCCAAGTGGGAGAGTCTGCTATTGATTAGTTGATTGCACGGTTATGTGCTATGTTGGTTCCAGTTTGAGGCATACTGCTGAATTAGTTATGGCTTATGGAGGTTGAGACCGAGGATAGCTCGAGTAAAGGAAATTTCAATAAATGTTATGTTATGCTTTATGGGTGATTGAGAATCACAAAATGACTTGAGTTGTTATTGGTAAAGGATGTACGGTGCACAGAACAGGAAGTTACTTGGTTGCATTAAGGTGAGGTTATATTCTACGGTGTCGGAGTGCTATTGGAGCACAGGTCGTCCAGTCCATTTGATCGGTCTAATTGCAATTTGAGTAGAGTAGATGACTCTCGAGAATTGTTCTAATGGGTTCAAGATGTTACATATAATAATTAAAGATTTTCAGGTTGTATATTTGGCTAGAAACTGAGGTTTGCATTGGAGGGTGTCAAGACTCGTGGTATTTCTATATCATTATGGATTCTACATATCAGTATTTGGAAGGTGAAGGTAATGGCTCTAGATTCGTAGGAAGTCTCTTAAGGGAAAGTATTTCGAATGTGGTGCTTTTGGGGATATTTGAGAGAGTAGTCAGCGGCTTATGAACCGTAGGATGGTGTGGCTTTATGCTTGGGTCTCGTATGGTGAGTCTGGGTCGAGGATTGTGGTGTTATATCGAGAAGAAGTATCAAGTTGAAGGTAAATCAGAAGGAACTTGGATAGATGGGATAGCTTGGTAGTAGGCCAGGTCGGCATGCTAAGGATATAATTAGTTCTTTGGGTGCTTACGAGGTAATGAGTTTCTACAGGTGTTTCGCAGCAATGCTCTTGGGTTTTAGTGGCCTGCATAGCTTGGTTGAGTTAGAAGGATTCAGTCCTGACAGTTTAGTTTTGTGCAAATGGAATTCGAAGAGTTCTTGATGGTTTCTACCACGGTTAGAGATGTATATTTTCTACGAGCGTGAGGAGCATGGGATGTATAGTGATTTTCTTCTAGATGGTATCATTAGAAAGTTCTTGGCTAGTTGAGTACGTAGTTGCTTGTGGCTTGGAATTGATATGAAGTTCTCATGTTTATCCTAGGATGGTACGGTATATGCGGTATGTTGTGTAGGATTGACATTTATATGTGTAAGGTCACAGTTCAGTTTTGAAAGGAAGGTCACAAATTCTTAGTTAGCATGGACAGTTTCAGATGACTAGATAAATAAGATCACTGATTGGCGTGGCTTGATGAGGGTGTACATTTTAGAAAGGGCGATGTGTTTGAGTTGAGGATACTTTATTATTATTGCGGCACTCTCTTATCGGATTGACTACTGATATTCGAGTTTGCTTGGTGGCACAGAAGAATTATAGGAGTATCTCTCATGGAATGATTGGGTATTAGAGATGTGTTGTATATTCGGACGGTGGAGTTGGGATCGGATATGGTGATTTGTGTGCTTTATGGATTGGGAGGCTGAGAGTTTTCGTGAGTAGATGGTTTTGTGACTGTGGACTGTGAGAAAATAGCTAAGGTTAGTCAGAGGGTAGTATGTGCTATGATTCAGTCACTGTGAACCTTCAAAGAGTTATTTATTTGTTGTGGGTGACCAGAGTATATTTGGGGTTCGTTGGTGGGCCCAACATGGATGTGTGCTCTGCACCGGGTCGGATTTGTTGACTCCGAACTGCTATTGTTGTGAGATGTGACGTTCGATTGTTGTTGAGCTTGTTCGTGTTCTGGAGTGATCTATGATGTTACTCTTCTGTGTTAAGAGGAGTGGTGATTCATTGGTCATATGCACATATGGTGCGATTCCATTTGGGCTTTAGAGCAGAATGTGAGTGAGATAGGTATTTGGGTGTTGCGTGAGTGATTGCGTATTGGTTATGTTCTTTCGGGTTGTGTGGTGTTATGTCATTCGCTTCTCCGTGGTTATGGTAATGCACTCTGGGTCCTTGATGTTGGATTCTGAATGGTTATGGATTTTGAGCAGGGTGGCTCGAGGTATATGATGTAGACCAGCATTTGAAAGGGTTACCGCATTATAGCGGAGTTATGTGGAGGTACGATCATTCGGGTTAGATTCGTGTGTTCTGGTGCTACAGTGTGTGATGTTCTTAGCATCATGTTGTGATGGTACCGGTGAGCTTGCGGTACAGTTCTCTCATGTGATTCATTTTCCATGATTTGAGTACATTTGGACTGTTGCTTATTGGTGCACGGGTTGTGGCTTGAGATTGTATCGATGTGTCATGTCACTAGAGTGGCCATATTGAATGAGATGAGGTCGTTGGGATCTAGAATGAGTACTATCGGATTCAATTTCAGCGTGTTGGAAGGATAGTATCGATATTCAGCTCAGAAATTTGCTATGGTCCTTGCCAAAGGAGAAGTGGCTTCACGAATGGTTGATCTGAGGAATGATTATGACTTTCTACGTATTTCATTTATCATTGGCAGTATACGGAAGTGTTGGAATGAGGCTTTATTTGATAAGAGGTTTATTATCGATATTCGGTTGTTCTAAGCAACTGATGTGATCAGAAGTTATCGCTACTAGAGTTTGAGCTATGTGGTATATCATGTAATTGCATCTAAGGCTGGAGGTACGGTTTGTTACAGCTGGTTCGGGCTTATTCAGAGTATAGATGTGAGATTCTGATCTTGTCGATGATTTCAGAAGTGGAAATATGGTTTTAAGGTTTATGGGCTAGGTTGGATTGCGAAATTTCAGTTACATTATGTTATCTGACCTATATGAGATTGGGTGACGTGGGATCACCCCCGGGTATGTGCATGGTAAGGTCACACAGCAATTTGATGGGTTTCGGAACAACTCTGGGCACATTGGAGGACGAACGTATGTTTAAGTGGGGGAGGATGTAACGACCCGACCGGTTGTTTTTAGCATTTGCACTTCGCTCGCCAGTTCTCGAGTGAGGCTAGCCCCGTATGATGCTATATAACTTATGTAAATCGTTGGTTTTGGTATCCAGGATAATCAGAATAGATTTGGAAGAACAATTCTCAGTTGAAGCTTTAAATTTGAAAGGTTTGACCATGTTTTGACTTTTTTTGTATATGATCTCGGATTTGAATTTTAATGATTTGGTTAGCTCCTCTAGGTGATTGGGGACTTAGGGGCGTGATCAGGATGTGTTTTGGAGGTCCGGAGTAGATTTAGGCTTGAATTGGAAATATTGGATTTTGGCGATGTACGGTTGATAGCTGAGATTTTGTTATAGAGGTCGGAATGGAATTTCGGAAGTTGGAGTAGGTCCGTTGTATCATTTGTGACGTGTGTGCAAAATTTTAGGTCATTCGGACGATGTTTGATAGACTTTTTGATCAAAAGCGAAATTCGGAACTTTTAGAGTTCTTAGGCTTGAATCCGTGGTTGATTCGATGTTTCGATGTTGTTTTAGGTGTTCCGAAGGTTGGTACAAGTTTGAATATTGGTATAAGACTTGTTCGTATTTTTGGTTGAGGTCTCGGGGGCGCGGGATTATTTCGGATAGTTTTCGAAGAGTTTGAACTTCGGAAATTGCAGCTGGTATTGCTGCTTCTGTCATATCCGCACCTACGGATTGGGGACCGCAGGTTCGAGCTCCGCTGGAGCGGAAGAGAGGCGCAAGTGCATGTAGGATCGCAGGTGCGGCTTGGAAAACATTATCTGCGATGCCGTAGAAGCGGTGAAGCGGCCGCAGATGCGAGACCTGGTGAGGCAAGTGAAATCCGTAGAAGTGAAAGCGCATATGCGCTTATGGGATCGCAGGTGCGGAATCCCTGGGCAGAAACTATATAAGAATTCCTTCGCGAATTTTTGTCATTCTTCCCCCATTTTTGGTCGATTTTGGAGATCCAATCAGAGAGCTAAGCTAC